GCTATGCTACGCTCCTTCTCTCTCGCCCACTTCAGCTCCGGGCTCACTGCAGACCTCCTTGCACAAGTCACTGTGGCAGCGTTTCCGCATGGCTCACACAGGAATGAATGAATGGTTGGGCGCTGCCTCTTGATTTATACTTCTGAAACTCGTTGGTCTGCCCTTTGCCATCGGCCCATGGTGCTCACAGTCCCTCGTAGTACTTGTTGGACTGGACTGGGACCGACTGGACCTTACCACTGACTGAGTAGGGACTCAGTGCTATCCTACCGAGGTCGTACTGCAATCGTACTGCAGTTAGACCACCACTTGGCTCACCACTTGCCCACTTGCCGACCTGCTAGAAGGCTACGGCTAAGACTTCTAGACTTCACTAAGACTTCTGTTCGACAGACCTACAGATCGAACCCCTGCTACCTACGGACCCTACGACAGCCTACTACTGTTACAATTACACACTGGTCGTGGGTTCAAGCCTTGGGGTCGACACAGATACTGTACATCGGTAGGGTAAGGGCTAGGGATCGAGCCCTGGGGTCTGCATCTGCTACTGCAAAAGGTGAAAACCGTTTCACTCCCGTCGTCCTAAATTCGAGGTCCTCCGAGAATATCTTAGTCCAAGGCTGGACCTTTACCTTTCCTGTCACGCTCATAGGCTCTGACTATGTCGGGAGCTGTTTCTAGAAGTTTTGTTCTAGTAAACCAGCGGTCGTCTTCCGGTTCCTGATAAGCAAACCGGACCTTATACTGCTTTTGTGGAAGCCCTCTACCTCCTGTCCTGAACACATCTTCATCTACAATGCCGTCAATGTCATATCTTCCATCCATATCCGGAGGGATCATGGATCTTCTTGAAGGGAACTGTGGACTTGTGACACACGGCAACAACTTTGAAGCATGGAACACCGGGTAGGTGTGGAGGTGTGCTGGAATTTCTATAGTGTAGGACGATCCATCCTCTCCGCCCTTGACTTCTAGAACCGGCCACGGTCCTCTATATGCAAGCAGTAACTTTTGCGAGATGTTCTCCTCAGGTGCAAACTCTTTAGACTTGAACCAGACCAGGTCGCCTACCTGAAACTGCGATGGGCGACGGTGCTTATTAGCCTGTTCTATCATGCGGTGTTGGGCCTTCCTGAGGTTTTCAACAACAACAGCTAGCTCTCTCTCGTGCTGTATCGCAAACTCCCTAGTTCCGGGCGGTAGCCTGTGAATCTGGTCCCGGGTAAGTCCCTCAAACAGTCTACGGGGTCTAAAGGACTTGTGCAACTCGTTGGGAGTGCGACAGGTAGACAAATGCACGCTGTTATTGTATGCGCTGGCTACCTTGGGCAACATCTCGTCCCAATTGACTTGATCAGGTCTAATGTACATGCGCAGAACTTGCTGCAGGATCTTGTTCATCTGTTTTGTCTGACCGTTAGTTTCTGGATGACGGCCAGATGACATCAGCAACTTTGATCCATAGACTCTCATTAGCTCCTGCCAGTTCTGACTTGTGAATCTGGTGTCTCTATCACTAACTATAGACAAAGGGACCCCGTGATCACTAATCCAATGATAAAAAAACTTCTGAATGACTTATTTTGTACGTGCCTCTGCAGGCAAGGGAACAAAAACTGCATACTTACTGAATCTATCGACTATGACCATGACTTGGCTCTTGCCGTGTCTACTCTTGACACCGACGTCCATGAAGTCAATGGAGACTGAATCTCCAGGTTGGTCTGGGATAGGGAAGGGTCTGAGAAGACCTAGAGGGGCACGCGTAGTGGTCTTGTTCCTCTGGCAAACTTTGCAACTGCGAATATACTCTATGTAGTCAGCTTTCATTCATGGCCAGGTATACGCACGTATCAAATTGGCTAAAGTCTTCTGCCAACCGAAGTGTCCCTCTGTGTCATGGCATTCCCCTCGGATAAGACTATGGATCTCCTCACTGTTGGGGATGCGCAGGCGCTCTACTACATTAGTCTTCTCAAACAATAGTCCCTCAGTAGTGCGGTAGTTTGGTTCGGTCTCTGGGGCCTCCTTAACTCTCTTGAGGAGGTCACTATAGATAGGGTCCTGCGCATACGCCTGTCAGACTTTCTCCTGCAGGTCCTTTCCTATGTCCAGATAGTGCACTATAGCTCCAACGTAGTCCGATCTCCTACTTAGAGCATCCGCAACTACGTTGTACTTGCCTTTGACCGGTTTGAGCTCAAAGTCATATTGGTCTATCTCAGCGGCCCACCTAGTAAACTTAGGAGTCATTTTGGCCTGGGTCTTTAACCATCTAAGTGTTTCATGGTCTGAGTATACTTTGAAGTGCCTCCCAAGCAGGTAATGCTTCCAGTGCTCAAATGCCTGGCTGAGAACGTAGAGTTCTCTTTAGTATGTCGAGGTGGCTACCTTCTCTGAGGACATCCTCGCTGACATGAACTCTACGGGTCTATAGCCATTGTCGTCGTCTTGCTGCAACACGGTGCCTATACCATACTGACTCGCGTCCGTGGTGACGACAAATGGCAAAGACGGATCAGCTACTTTGAGGACAGGGTACTCTATCAACGCGCGCTTCAGTCTCTTTAGCACAGACATGTAATCTTTGTCCCATTGCCAGATTGCCTCTTTCTTAATCAACCTGCGCACGGGCGCGGCGATAGTAGAGAAGTTCCTGAGGAACTTTCTATAATAATTCGCTAGGCCTAAGAATGACCGCAACTCTGTCAATGCGCGGGGCGTCGGCCAGTCTCTAATTGCCGCCATCTTGCTGTCCTTAGGCTTAATGCCATCTTCGTCTAATACGTGGCCCAGGTACAAAACTTGTGTCCTGGCCCACTCGCACTTCTTCGGGTTGATCTTGAAGTTAGCCTCTCTTAGCTTCTCCAAGACCTGCCTTAAACGACCCTGATGTTCTTGGAGGGTCTTGCTGAAGACTAATATATCATTTAAATAGACTACTACAAACTTATCTAACCACGGTCTGAACAGATCATTCATACAACGCTGAAATGTAGCCGGCGCGTTGGTTAGTCCAAAGGGCATGACTATGAACTCATAATGCCCATATCTAGTCCGGAACGCAGTTTTGTACTGGTCATCAGGGTGGACTTCTATCTGATGGTAACCAGATTTTAAATCTATCTTGGAAAAATACTTGCAACCCTGCACCCGACCTAAAAGATCGTCTATCATGGGCAGCGGCTCAACATTCTTCACTGTGATGGCATTCAAACCCCTATAGTCTATGCCAATACGCAACTCTCCCTCTTTCTTGGGGACAAACAGAACAGGTGCTCCAAAAGGAGACGAACTGGGCCTGATCCAACCTTTCTCCAGGAGCTCGTCCAACTTCTTACGTAGCTCTTCTAACTCTCTAGGGGACATCCTATAGATTGCTCCCTTAGGAGTTCTACTGCCAGGCTCTATCTCTATTCTGTGTTGGATTGGTCGCGACACTACTCCTGTCGGCGACTCGGTCAAATCTTTGAACTCCTCCAGCAGCTTGGCAATGGTTGGATCCGTGGTACTATCTCCTTCCTTAGGCTTAGTGACAGGTCTAACATATACTACAAAGACCTGATCCTCTAGCTGCTCCTTTTTCACTAGTCGCGCGAACGCGGGAGCACTGAGACAGCAGTGTGCCAGAGTGTTATCTACACCTGACACATGAAACAGGAGGGCAGTCTTAACCTCGCCTGATGGACTAGGGAGCCTACACTCATGCTCTCTCAAGTGGAGTGTGGCCCCTACTGCCTCTCCCCAATCCATTCCTAACACTATGTCGAAAGGGAGGTCATCCTGTATGAGGAGAGTCAGGGGATGGAGAACTTTCTCCACCTTCCCATCCTTTTCTAGGCGAAAGTACGCCTGAACTCCCTCTACGTAGTCCTCAACACGCATTGTGCGGTTGTCTGCAAGGACACTGACTATGGGGTCTGCCAATTTTTGGACTTTCAATCCTAGTCTCAACTTCTTCAGCGCCCTACGGCTAATGTAACTACGGGTAACCCCTGAATTTATAAGGACCCCTACTCTACTCCTGAACACTTCTACATCAACTAAGATTAGTTGTCCTTTACTCTCCTTCTTCATTTTGGCCCAGGCTGGCATCCTCTCCTTCAATTCCTCTGCCACGTCTGTGAGGGACGTGCCTAGAGAGACGCTAGGCACGGGCCTGCAACCTCTACCATAGGGTCATGTGGTTTGGGAGTTTCCTGTATGCGCGCGCTCGCTTCCCCACATGGCCTTGAAGTAGGGGCAATTGCGACCCCTACTGGCGGCTGCCTTTTGACTGCTGAGCAGCCCATCAAGCCTGTCTGTACTGAGGACAAAATTTAATTACGTGGGCCGGGTCACCACAAAACACGCACTGACCCAAGTTCACGCGTTCCAACCATACGCGTTGGTCCAAGCCCAAGTCTTCCCAGGGCCTGCCCTGTGGCAAGCCTGGGTGCCATCCTCCTTGAGGTGGTCTTCCACCTCGTCGCTGTGGGGACCGACAAGAACTCTGGCGATTTGGTGGGGGACCTTGACCCCAACCTCCCACTTGGCGGTTCCCTTGTCCGCCAACCCCCTAAGTGCCCGGTCCTCGGCCTCCCATGGCCTGGCCCCTCTGGCCCTGGCCTCCTCCTCTACCCTGTGGCCTCCCTCCGGCCGCGACAGCAGCATAGGACCTCCCCTGCCCCACGCTACTGTCCTCCTCCTCTAACCCCCACTCAATTTCACTATAGGGGACTTCATCAGCACCACCTTCTTCTAAAGTAAGGATCATGTGATCCTTGGCCCTGACTTGGCCCGAGATGGTACGCCCTTTCCGCTTCTTCCCTTTATCCAAGTCCTTATGCCAGAAAGTGGAAACTGACATGGACTTTGACTCAAACAGGACCACCTCTCTACTTAGCACATCATAGGTGATGTCGGCCTGTTGAGACCTCTCAAAGAAATGCCCACACAGGGGTTCGGGCATGGCACGATAAAACAATTGGACCAACTGGGGCTCAGTGACCCCATGGTCTGGGGCGACTACCAAGTCGTCCATAACGCCCGTGAATGCTCTTGCACTCCTCCACTGTCGTGAGTGGATGGTCTGTAACTTATCAGAGGCTCTAACGCCTCTCGTTGGGTCAGCAAATCTCTCCCTCAGGACTTTGAAGAATTGAGGAAGGGTGGTGATCTTAGAATATGCAACCATGTTGTTTTCACAACTGGCTGAGCGCGCAAGAGATCTGGCAAAACTGGTTGCTTCATCTTTAAGGGCCTGGAAGGCGACGAGGACTTGCTCCTCAGTCAGGATGTGTTGTAAGTACACATAGCTATTCACGCTGGCCTCCCAATTATCAAAATTCTCCTCTTTCTTCCCCCCGTATGCATCTGGGAATTTAAGCTTAACGGGCTTCTTACGAGGCCTGGCCTCACCCTCTACAACGGGTATTGCTTTGGCACCTTCGATGGCACCCTCGCAGAACTTCCCCATGATGTCTCTCAGTCACCTAACTTCGCCTCCAACGTGGGTGACCATATCGCGCGCGAAATCTCTAAATCCTGACCGCATGGCACTCAGGGCCACATCCTGACCCCTATTGGCTTGGCGCTCCTCCATCCAGGCCGCACTCAACACTTCCGAATAACCCAACACCTTATCCATCTTGGCAGAAATGTCTGGCTGCGCCTGCACCTCTTGTCTACAATCTCTCATTTTTGCCACCTCCTCGGTCAGCCTATTAACTTCATCCCTCCTCCTCTTCTTTTCCCGCTTCATCCTCAGTTCCCGCTCCAACTTTTCTTCTTCTTCTCTTTCTCGCCGTTCGAGAGGGTCCTCGAGTTCGCTAGCTCACTGGCTAATGCATCCCTCTCATCCTGGGGCACATAAAACTCTGCCACCTCATCTTCCCCCAACCATAAATTAGCAATCCACTCGTTGATCTTCTTTTCCATCGTGGCATCCTCCTTTGTGTGCCACTACTCTCCCCATTTTCTTCCTTGCGTTTCCTTTCCTCCTCTGCTTTTGCTGCTGCTTCTTCTTCGGCAACCTTTTTCTTCTCCTCCATCTCTTCTTCCAACTTTTTCATCTTCGCCGCCTGCTCCTCTGCGATAGCCTTCAACTTCGCCTGCTTCAGGAGCTCCTTCCTCTCCTTGTTCTCCCTCACTAAGGCGGCCATCTTCTCTTGTTGTTCTTGGGTGTAGGGGCTAGTGCTCTTCCCACTACGGGTTTCAACCATGGTGATTAGTGCACAACCGAATTAACGGTTCCAAACCTCACCACGTAAACTCTAACCCCTGACTGACAAACCTACTAACTCGATCTAAAGACTCACAGAGTCCGGACAAGGATCCTGCCAACTAGGGTTTCTAGCCTAGACCTACACTATGGCTGTCACTACTAGACCTATTGCTGATCAAGAGGCATTTAAGGAGATCCCCCGTAACTCCTCAGGAATTATTTAACRTYGCARACAGGACGACGCGATCAGCAGGTCTCTCAACACTTAGACTGCCTGTTGCGCAGCCCACAACTCAGCCTTTCGGGCCTACCGTGCCACACCGAGCAGCCCGCCGGTCTGTACCGGTCCTTGGGAGGGTTAGGCCTCCAAAACAGTTGAGTCGTCAGACACAGTATTTAGCCCTACTTGGTCCGGCACGGGTTTGGTCAACAAGGCCTATTCTTCATCCACAAAGTACTATCACCTAGACAGAAGAGAATCGATGCAGAAAGAAGAGACAGACAGACTAGACTCAGCAAGTAGCACAGGGTGTGTGCTCATCCATAGGGCGAGGGATAGGCTGAAGGCTTGGCGAGATTTTACCGGCTCCAGCTTGGTCAAAGTCTTGGTCAACGCCTTGGTCAACGCTGCGGTCAACTCCCGGTCAACCCCCGGTCAACTCCGGTCAACGTCGGTCAACACCTCGGGTCAACTCTCCCGGTTAACCCTTCGGTCAGCTATGGCTGCCGACTTCTCTTTCCCTCACCAACCTTCTTCTTCCCTTCACCTTCCTTGCCTCCTTTCACCCTGGCTGTCCCTCTTCTCCTTTTTCTTTTTCTTTTTGATCATCGCTCTCTCTTCCTCTCCTCGGCTGTAGCTTCTCTCTCCCTTCTCAGTCTCTCCCTCTGTCCACTCTCTCTCCCTCCTTCGTTACTCCGTGGTCAAGCTCCGTGGCTATGGCCGCTATCTTCTTCTTCGTGGAACTGCACAACAACCTCACAGGTACATAACAGCCCAACTTGTATCGCTCATCTCTCTCTCTCTCTCTCTCTCTCTCTCTCTCTCTCTCTCTCTCTCTCTCTCTCTCTCTCT